AACAGCACAGGCATGGGAGTCCTTCCCTTGCACCATTCACAATCATTCACAATAACAAAGATTGAAATGACCATCTCATAAACATTTTACCAAAACATCATATGACGAAATATCTCAGGGTCAGACTGTTCCGAATATGACATCTATGCCTCTGGGTGGAAGAGGGTTTTTGCTGTGGTGACCAGCAGTTGCGGGCGGGTCCAGTCCCCCAATTTTCAGGCGCCGACTTTGGCGATTCTTCGCTCTCAGAAGAATTACCCAAAAAAACCTGAAAATTTGAGATCCTGTAGATTAGATTATGATCTTCCAGGAAAAAAATCAGAAAAATAAAAGAAAATATTTAATATTTTGGACTGAAATAAATGCTGCACCGATTCCTCACATTTTCCATTTTTTGTCACTCTACAATGTGAGGGCCAACGGAAACAGTACCCCAACTTCCACGATTTTTGGCGCTCAGAAAAGTGACACCTGTACTAGCAGGTCACACTTTGGGTAAGTTGGATATATGTATCATAAAGTCTTTTGATCGCCGCAAACTTTCAGATTTATCCAACGTGCTTGGCCCGGACAAATGCAAGGGCTTCTCGTACCATGGTGGAACTAACTTCACCGCTACAGCGGTACGTCTCCCACCCAGAAATGTGAGTCTGCCTTGAGTCCGTGGTCTGTCTCACTTGGCGCTATGATTTCGTTATGTTATGTTTTGAAATTGACCTGAATTGAACTAACCTTGCTGCTTTTGCCTTGTGTATGTGACCGACCTTTTGGTCTTGCGTCTGGAGCCCCCGTCCTGTGGTGGCGGTCACCGCAAGGGCGCGGCTTCTTGCCCTTTCCCTCCGCACAGTGAGTGTAGTTAGCTCTCCACCCAGGGTGTGACAAACTTAGGTGAGGAGTATATATATATATATGTAGTCGGTGAAACTCCAACGAAACAGTTTGTCACAGCCCCTCGTTTGTTGTCCTCTTCTCTCTCTCTGCCTACGGTTTACCGGGCAGTTCTATTTG